AAAAAAAAAAATCTAACAACAATCTATCACTATCTGCTTTTTGTCACACGGTGACACTTGCATCTAATATTTGTCACTGGCAACACTGCTAGTACACAGTGTGAAATTCAATAAAAAGACTAACGAGAAATTAATATCTATGATCATGAGGTGGAATTACCTGTAAGTCAGTACAAGTGTCTCTCCTTCAAACTCCAACTTCTGACTGACAACACCCAAATTAAGAAGTTTCTTGTCAGTCTCCTTCATGCAGACACCGATATCAACACCGCTGTCCTTATTACACAGTGTCTTGTCAATTTTGTCACAAATATTCAGTGTAAATGTTCTACCACTAGGTGTAGAGATAGTGTACGGCTTGCTTGGTTGTCGGCTTAGTGCAAACATATTGAAGACAGTAGCTGATTTAGGATCCTGGACGGAGCAATTTGCACCTATGGTGTTAGTAATGGCACATGCCGCGGCAGACTCCCAACTAAACTTGTACAGGCATCCACTATTACCAGTAGACTCTAGATGCGGTCCTTTACCCTTTGAATGAAAGAATACCAATAAACTATGTACTTATTTGAACACACACACAGTAATCATTGAATCAAGAACACTCACCACAACACCTTTCTGGCATATGAATGTAATTTCAGATTGATATCGTTTGTTCTTGTCTGCCTGACAAGGATCTCCATTGGTGTAAGTTATGGTGATAGTTCCTTGTGAAGTCGCCTTTAAAGAACTGTCAACTTGACCTATAGTAAACACAAGGATGACACAAACGACAATAATAAGGATTAACGATACAACCTACAATATGTATAGTCAGGTTTTTTGAAAACGTTTGTCCGTTCTTGGAGAAACTGCCGTAAAAATACGTTTTGAGATAAATGTTGCAAACTGATCATGCGCGAATCACTACACAAAGCACTCTTGTCATCCCACATTGAATATGCATTAAGTAAAATAGAAGTCCTGATGGCTGTTTTATGCAATCGGTTGACATACTTCATTGGTCAATGATCAGGTATCAAACCACAGGCTTACCAGACTATCGAGAAGAGTCGGCTCCAGGCCTTCTATGGCGATGGATTATCGGCCGAAAGCCGTTGAAATCTCTTCAAATTAGGCCATTTTCAACATCGATATTTTGAATTTACTTCAGTGGGGCTCGCGATCATTTACCCATGAAAAACGCATCGCACGGCAAAAAGAACCACAAATCCACACTCATAAAGCATTAAAGTGTGGTCAAACCCGAGACCTTTGCTAGGGTTATGGACCTTTCTATCTGATAAAGGTCACCATTATAAAAATTCTTTATATAAAGAATACTAATAAGGAGTGTTTCATCAGATATAAACGTCCACTCATGTGGCCAAATAGGGTCATTCTATTGT